AACTGTGAAACTTATGATATAAGCAATAAGAAACTAGAGAAGTGACATTGAAAGATGATTGTGTATTATCAGCACAAAAACCTTTCTCACTAAATTCTAGCCTTATTAACTGGAGTACAAATGTTTTCGGCCTTCTTAATAGGCCTTCCTCGGGTACACTGTGGAGCGTCGGTTAGAAGAAGTTTAAATTAGTGATGCCACGAATAGTGATTTTGCCGAATACCGAACATTCGGCTACGCTCTTGGCCGAAGCGCCGAATATTCGGCGGCCGAATGTTCGGCGAAATATGTGTACATTTCGCGGGTGATATGTTACGACCTGATACATTACTGTGGGTGCGGTGGCGACACTGCGGGCACATTTGTTTTATTTGCGAGTAGATCATGTCACAACATGCATTATTTGTTCATTGCTACATCAAATTGCGTTACTAATTATTACTAAAAAACATCACTGTATCACTTTATATGAAAACTGTTCGCCTAGATTGGACGGCAGACCTTTACAAGTGGTGGTCAGCAAACGCAAAACAGTATCCAAGCCTGANATGTATAATAAAGTTGTGATTGTTGCAAGGAACATTTTTTATCTAATAATTTTTTAATACTATTAGTTTGTGATACATAATATATTATTTTTTCTGCCATAATAACTAACTTTTTTCTGTACCCCTAAACAACCTATCGCGCACCCCAAACCTGTGGTGCGCGTACCCCTAGGGGTACGCGCACCACAGGTTGGGAATCGCTGCTCTAAAGTGTCCAGCTGTTGACAGCAGAGCGATTTTAGAGACAAGACATAGTCTTGTCAATAATCTGATTTTTAGATACATATGGCTGTTTACATAGTGCTGTGAGTTAAATATACTCATAGATGTAAACATATAATGAGTTATTGCACACTAATCTTTATTTTGACTTTTTAATGCAAATATTAAATGAAACATTCTTCGTTTAATGTTTAAAATATATATATATTTTTTGTTTTTTCATTTTACAGCATCAGACGAAGAAGTGTTTGTTTCAAGAAAATGTAAAAAGAGAAGAAAGAAATGTAAAAATTCTTTATTTTCTCATACTTCCTATTTTCAAATCAAAAAACAATGCGTTTTTAGATGTTCCGACTGTGATCAAGTGTTTGCCTATAAGTGGAATTTGAAGAGACACATGAAATTACACACTAGTCGAACTCCTTTTGCATGTGACGTTTGTGATAAAAAATTTGTTGTGTATCGTAGTTTTAACAGACACGTATCTTCCCACATTGGAGAGAAACCATTTTCCTGCAATATATGTGAAGAAAAATTTCCTAGAAGTTATATTTTACGAGAACATTTATTGAATCACATTTCTCAACAGTAAATGAAATTTTTCATAATTATTAATTGTATTGTAAAGTATTTATTATTTGAAGTTTCCTTTTTAAAAATTTTGTTTTTAATAAAATTCTTTTTTTGTACAAAACATCTATTTGAATTTTGATTTATTATTCTTTTAAAAAAATAAAAAAAAAAAACTGGTTTCATTTTACTGAACACTGATCATCCAATTTATACTGTAAATAAAGTAAAGTAGCCAAACTCTTCACAAATTCTATGGTGTAACAAGCATNTTTTCATTTTCAAATAAATGCTTGTTTTGTGTGTAAAGAATTTTTGTGCTGGCAATTTTTCAAAATGTTGAGTGTAATTGAGCAAAGAACATGCATTAAATTTTCTTTTTGCAATAGAATTACAATACTGCCACAAAATGCTGGAACTGTTGCAAAAATCTTTTGATGACAATAATCTATCAAAAATGAGTTTATGTTGCTTGAATCAGCAATTTGGTACTGAATGATTGTCATTTAGCAATTAGAGATATTATTGAACATGATCCAGTATCACTTGGATCTTGTCAAGCATTTTAAAAGATCATTTGGGCAATTCAAAACATTTCAGAGCGTGGGAGACGTCGGCATCAAAGCTCAACCTGATACCAATCGGATGAATTTTGAAACTCTCCCTTGTAATTTCAGCCTTTTGTTTATCTTTCTGACAAAGAATTTTTTATAGTTTTCGCAAGACTGTCAGGCGGGCACTCATTAAGTTTTGCATCGGTTTTTATTTTTGAAAGATGAGAGTATAATAGCAAATGTAGAGAATGGGCATATGTCTGATGTTGCTAGGTAGTATGGCTTGAATAGGTCTACAGTAGGCACAATCTTAGCTAAGAAAGATATATCATAAAGACTCAAGCATCTAAAGGAGTAATTAAAATCACATCTGAGAAATAAAGAACATTGAATAGCTCATAATGGAACCTGAAACTGATCTGATGACAGAAGAACTGCAAGAACTCTTTAAATGAAAAACACCAAGAAACTCAGCGAGATGTGTTTTCTTCTGAAAAAGAGGAAGACGAAAGAGGATTTCAGAACAGCAGTCTTAGAATGGCATCCAAACCAGAATGATGTTAATAGGCTTGGGGATCTCTACAATGACAATGCAATTATTACTTCTGAAAAATCCTAAGAGAGAAAAGCAATCAACATTGGACAGATTAACCCTCACAAATGGAAAAAAAACATGACTGATAAAAATGCAACACTGTGTATATATGTATTTTTATTTTTTGGGTCTCCAGAACGAATTAATCAAATTTCCATAAAAACCTATGGTAAATTGATAAGTGGTTAACGAACAATTCAGATAGCGAACAAAGTCTTGGAATGGATTATATTCATTATCTGATCATCCACTGTGTTTTTTTTGACAATCATTGGAATACATAAAATGGATTGAGGTATTTTTCAAACTCATCAAGTATGGTACACACTTGGCTTTAATTAATATAACTATCAGGCTTACAGATGTTTTTGAGTATGTACAGTACACAGTTTTGTCATTTGAAATTTTTTGAAAACTGAGATTTGGTATCCAAATACAGATATGAGTTTATTATAGTATAATTCTGCTTTTTATTATACATCTATTGCTTTATTTATCATGTAATAATTGGAGGTAAAATGAAAAGCCTTGTGATATTTCTCATAAACAGTACTTTCTGAATTTGTATAAAGCTGGAAAAATGAACAAAATAATAACAAAACTGAAAACATATGGAATAAAGACCACTCGCTTTGAAACATTGCTAATTCAGCTTGTAATTATCCTGCTTCCAATCTTCCAATTTCTCTCATCTTAAAGTCATGTAGGTGAAGATAATGAGCCATTATTCCATTAACAGTCAAAGTTGAACTTCAGTTACTGAGCCCTGTTAAGAAACAACTTCTATAAAGGTTGATGAGGTAATGCCTTATTTTGCATAATTTTTTCCATCATTTTTCTTGATATCTTCCATCATATCTGAAAACAAATTCTCTGATGTTAGGCCTGGACTTTTATACTCTGTTCTGTGGGTACTAAGAGAGCCTCTTTAGCAAGCCTATTATGATTTTGGGTTTGGCTGGATCCACAATGGGATAGCTGGATGGCAAAGGACAGGGTCTAACACATCTGAAAGGGCCATTTTTTGAAAAATTCCTGGGATTTTTGACCTGTGGATTTGATCCTGGGTCCTCAAAGTGGTAGGCTGCCACCTTATCCACTCAGTTATCTGATTGACAAATGTTAAATCTGGTTTTCAAGGATGCCATACTATCATATATTGGATTTACATTTATCCATCATCCACTGAATTGTTTTTCTAGATGGGACTTGATGCATAAGAATGCACTGATAAAGTTGCATGTATGATATCAAATTATTAGTGAATAATGTGGATTATGAATAAAAGTTGAGAAATAAAATCTCGGCTAATTGGATCAGGTGATCCATTAAACTATTAATTGATAAATAACATTGTGAGAATGATAATTGATAATTGTCATTCTCACAATGTCATCTACCATTAATACTTTTCTGCATCCAGAATATATATTGTAAACCAGAAGATACAGTATACAATCTCATGAATAAAGACTTTGTGATCACTGTAGAATAATATGACTTTATTTATTAGTTAAAAGATTAATTCTTTTTGATTAATTTTATTAGAATAACAAGTATATTGTTTATGTTGACAGTTAATTCAATAAAGAATAGACATAAGTTATTCAATGTTTTTGAAAAGTAATGTGCCATAGAAGATTATACAGAGAAGTTTGTTTGCAAAGCATCAGGGGAAAGCGTGTAGTATATTAGTGATACGTTGCATTATTTTGGGTCTGTAATACTGCCAAATGGAAATCAATTGCACAAAATTCATATGCATGTAGGCCCAGCCACTTACTTCTGTAACTAACTTGTGTGTTGTGAGGATTGAACTTGTACTTAATGAATGAAATATTACCAGTTTTTTATTGTTCTTATGTTTAGTTTTATTCAAATGAAACTAAAAATAACAATCTTCACAACATACTGAAATGATGTATCATATAACCAGTATACTTTATAAATTTAAAAACTGGATGCAATAGTAAGCAACAGATTCAACAGTAATAAAATCCAGCAAGAATTTTAATAAATAACTAACATTTTCAACTATATTCAGCAACCATCATCATGTTCTCAAGTGTTCAAATGGAATAACAATTTGAACATGAAGATTTTAAAAATTAGAATAGGAATTGATTGGATAAAACTTACGTCATTGAGAGTTTCCATAAAATAAAAATTATTTATAAGATTCACAGTATGATCTCCAAGCTTGTGGTAGAGTATCATTGTCCTTGAAATTTTTGTAGGTATTTGAACACTTAAGAACTTGATGATGACTGCTAAATGTAGTTGAAAATGCTAGTTATTTATTAAAATTCTTGCTGGATTTTATTGGTGTTGAGTCTGTTACTAACCTGTTCACTATACACTTGCCACTAATGCTTTGTAAACGAGCTTCTCCACACAATCTCTTATGGCGTGTTAATTTTGAAAAACACTATATTAAAGCATGTAGATTTTCTAAATTTTTAATGTTTTTAAAATAATTAGTTTTATTAAAATTTGATTATTTCTTTTTAGATGTAAAGAATGGGTGCTGAATTGTTGTCGATACGATCTCTTAAATTACAGTACAAAATACCTTCACCAGAATTATAAATTATGTTCCATTCACTTTGAAGATAATCAGTTTTTTGATTCCAAAAGAAAATTGCTCAAACCAAATGCCATACCCACAAAATTTAATATTTCTTTTTCTCCAAGTAACACAGTTGAAACTATTGAGACAGATGAAGGTGTTGGACATTCAGAAGGTAATTTTATTTTTCTGGATTTAAGTCAATTATCATTATTTATAGTTTTATATATTTAATGATTTGTAGCATTAGATACATACAAAATATATACTTAAATGGAGTGTAAAAACAAGACAAAACAGAAAGAAAACGTTTTGACCAACATCAATCATCATCAGGAACATTCAGAAGATTATAGAATGCCATTACAGCAAGGCACAATAGAATACTATTGTGCCCTGTATTATAGCCAAAAGCATTCCTGATGATATAGAACACTTAACACAGTACTGGTGTTTTAAAATCCTCTAAGCATTCTAGATGATGGATGTGATTGAAAAGAGCTAGAATTTTTTGTATTTTATGCTCTACTTAGTATTTCAGAGCTACCAGGGGTCTTTTTGGTGCATGAGTGAGATCACTGATTTTATACAAATATGGCCCAAGTCACATATCAATAGACTGCAATAAGTCAAAATACAATTTGATGGATTTTTAATTTTACAGCTGTTATATATAACAGAAGAAAAGTATGGCAATTGGTCAAAAAATGACTCAAATACATTCAAAAATTGAGAAATTAAAAAATATTTTGGGTTTTTCAATATGGATGAGTCCAGTGTTGCTCGGGGAAAAAGTAACAATAGCAAAGATTAAGATTATTAGAGTATAGCCGATCTTACCCATTTTCACCGGGTGCAAGAATTAGGTCCCCCTCTTCTGAGACTAATTAGAGAATTTTTAGATGGGTTTAAAAATATGTTCGATTTCCCGCAAAAACCGCATCTAAAATAGTATAGTAGAAAAAAAGTCCTTAAAAAAAACCCTAAACTAACCCCCCCTCCCCCGGGGGGGGAATTTCGAAAAATCTCTTCTTAGTGTACATTCTCATGACATACCCTAACTGTGTACCAAATTTCTACTTTCAACTCCTAACCATATGGGCTTGCTTTTTATTATTATCAACCCATCTCTATTATAAGGTAAGCAATTTATGTAATGTCTCTATTGGATGGCATAAAAATCCCTTTGACTTTATATCTGATAATGTACTTTTGGCAGTATGAAGAAGATCTTCATTGATGATATTGCCTAAAGTTAAGCAAACATACAGGGAACATTTCCCTGTATGTTATTTGTGTGCTATTTATTGTATAATAGTGCAGAACGGTAAACTATAACAAGGACTGAGCAGAAACACAAATATTAAAGTGACAATAGTGACAACTATGTTAGGAAGAAATTTACAAGATAAATTTGTGATTTTTATAGTTATTATTTTTGAATATCAGTATTAACTGTATAATATTTTGCCAGTTTTATCGTCTTTATAATACTTAATAAATAACTACTAATGTACAGTTATGTGTTATTTATTGTAATTTGTAAAGTTTAATTGTAAAATTGCCATATGCACTGTTCTTAAACTGTATAAATAATGTATTTATAAAAAGAATTAATTGAAAAGCAGGCAAAGTTATAAAACAAAATAAATGAAATTACTAGAAAAAATGTAAATAAATATAAATTAGATTCTTTTTTCTGCAAAACAACACTAAAACAATTTCTATAGTTAAGTTGCAAGAAAAGAGTTGCGATTAATTAAAAAAATTGTGATTAAGGGTTCGAAAAATGCGGGCAAAATTAAATAATAATAATAAATAAATAAAAATTATTAAAAATAAAACTAAATAAATTAAAACTAATAATAATAATAATAATAATAATAATAAATTAAGACTTATGTAATAAAATTAACAATAATATTTCTAACTTTATAGCTTTTCTTATAATCAAAAGAGATAACTTGAAAGTAATAAATGAAATTGGATCTTCTTTTCTACTGTCATTGTCTTGTGAGAGAGTTACTCGACATATACTAATATTATAAAGAGGTAATGTATGTATGTATGTATGTATGTTAGTAAGTTTGTTTGCAGCAGGTAATCTTCGAAACTACTCATCCGATTTCTTGAAACCCCCATGGACAGCGATTCAGCCCGCGATTAATCTTCCAATATTAGCTACTCAAGTCGGAATAGCTCGACTAAAAATTCTGACGCATAAAAAAAAAAATAAACAACTCACTGTGCGTTTAGAGTTAATGATCCATTACAAATCTATTAATTAAGTACAGCATAGAATGTTCATAATGCATGATAATGTGAAAAAATGTGAATATTCTGTATATATAAATATAAATGTGTAAATATTTATTTTATATAGATATAAGGAGAATTAATTCATGCCCATTCTTTGTGATAGAGACCATAAAATTAAGAATGTTTTTAAGGAGAAAATACCAATTTATGACAATTTATTGTAATATTAAAACATCACACTATTTTAACCATTGTTTATCAGCATTATTCTTCATTCCAATAATTATTTATAATTATTCGGCCCTTAATTACAGATATGTACAGAAAATTACTAAAATATGGCCCTTAAATTAATTACAGAAATGTTGCCCATCCCTTCTATTAGTCATGTTCCCACTAAAATACTTAGATGGCTCTGGAGAGATGCGGTTCTTTAATAGTATATCAACTTCTAACGAATTGTCTGCCCCTTCAATAAAACCATTACGTAGTGTTTACTATCACCTCTGCCTCCTTCACTTCGAAAATTCCGATGCCAAATACCAGGCTAACATCTGCTACTCATTTAGCACATTCCCTCATCGTCTAGAATTCATATAACTGAGGGCTTAGGAAGGGAAACTGGAAAGGAGAATATAACAGTCTAAAGCAGCGATTCCCAACCCGGGGTATGCGATAGGTTTTTTGCGGGTACAGAAATATAAGTAATATAAGTATGCAACAAAGTAAAAATAAAAACACTATAAACATATAAATTATCTTTAACAAAATTAATTTTAACGTAGTTTTGAGGAAAATTCTTTTAAATCAAAAAATTATGTAAAAANAAGGAGTCTAATGCAACAATTTTGTCCCAAATGGCGCAAACACCAGGATCTGTAGTCAAATGGAATGAGGCAACCATCATAGAACCTTTATCTTCCCCATCTTTGGCGTTGACAGCTGAAAAGTTGCAGATTTATAGGAGTAAAATACAGGAAGGCTGTTTAAATGCGAGGGATGCAGAAAGTCTTCCCTCTGCATGGAAGTTTATAGTTAAGAAATTTAATAAGAGCTCTAATCAGTCAAAATAATAATTTTATTGGATGTGTTAGTAATTGTATTTCTTAATACTTCTATGTACATTTTTTACATTTTTATATTATGTTACTCCATTGGTTATTTATTATTTAATTTTTATTTTATCTTATTCTGTTGCTTATTTAATTTGATTTTTGTGTTCCATTAATGGAATCCTTTAATTCAAATTTGGTTCTCAACCTGAAGATGGCCTGTGTATCAGGCTGAAATGTTTGTTTGAAATAAATTATATTTCTCGGCAAAGATAAGGTGTTAGTTATATGTATAGTGATTTGCTGAGTACTTTATGAGAAGAAGCCATCTTCAGGTGTAAGATGGTCTATTCTATTAAGTTGTAAATGTTAGTGTTTCATTTCATAAACATTTCTCAACGATAGAAGGTGTTTGATGTTTCATCAAGTGTTTAAAAAGGCTGAGTTTGATATTTGGTTTGTTGGCATTAATTACTTATTAACCATGGTATGTAGAATTAACAAAGCCTAAGAAGAAAGTTGTAATATTGATAGTTGAAGTGAAAAAGGAAGTTATCATGAAGTATGAAGGTGGTACATGTGCGACCATGTTTACGATGCCAATGTTGACAGAATGTGACCAATAAATGCAATTTTCATTTTATTATACAATGTTTATTCTTTTTGTGCTTAATTTATTATTAGGGCATTTAATTGTGTTATTTTTACCTTAAATTATGTGTATTTTCTGTTTTAATTTAATCAAATTGAGTATTGTTTAGAGTCAAATTAATTCACTTTCTAAACATTTGAATTTTCTTATCTATTGCGCAGGCTCGTACAAAAAAGAATAACAAGGTTACGAGCCTGCGCACTAGATAAGAAAATTCAAACGTTTAAGTGTTCCAAAACAAAGTTTGTTATAGAAATCAGAATTTACTTTCTATTATTTCTAATGGGAAAAATTGATTTGGACTTTGATTGGCCTCCTGGAACAAATTAAATTTGAAGTATGAGGCACCACTGTATTGGGCTACTTGGTTGCGGACATTCCCTAAGTAATGTCCGCAACCAAGGATTGCCACAATTCTCTAATCAGAACGAAACTGTTATTGAAGTACCATGTTATACAGGATTTTGCCTGTAAATTTGAGTTTATGCCAAATATATCTAAAGCTAGACTACATGGTAATCATCTGCATAACAAACAGAAGTTACAAGTTTGAGTCCCTTTCTGGGTCAGTTTATTGTTTGGGAATATTCTATAAATTTAATTAAAATTCAAAATTATTAATCTGAGGTAGTTAAGCTATAAGCTTTAGATTAAATTCTGTAATCTAATTAATTAAATCAATTTTAATCCAAAACAAAGTAAAACGGCAAAGCCATCCTTGGGACTAGACTATGTCTTGGAGAGCACGAGCAACACATGCACAAATCTCGCACTTGTGCCTATTTGTAGAAACAGTCTCAGCATTTTGTATTTTATTTTGAGCCGGTTCTCGGTCCCCTAACTACCTACAAGTCTGGTTTAATTTATGTGCTCATGATTTGGGCACCAAATACTCTGTGCTAAATTGCAACTTCTGACACGTACTCCTTCATACCTCTAAAGCAGTGGTTCCCAACCTTTTTTCATTAGCGTACCCCGTGACATGTCATATCTCTAGATTGTACCCCTCATTTAAGAAATTTAGTGAGTAACCGTATTGTTAATTTTACATATTGTAACTTTAAATTAAAGAAAAAAAAAACTAAAAGAAAAAATGTATAATGAAGGTGTGATTGTTGCAAGGAACATATTTTACGTAATAATTTTTTAATACTATTAGTTTGTGATACATAATATATTATTTTTTCTGCCATAATAACTNCAATTTTATAAATGTCTAGCAATGTCTCTCGTTATGAATGATACAGTCGTGATATTGATCCAAATATAAATGACATTTCAATTTAGAAGCGTAATGAAAAATAGATTCAATACAAATTATTTTATTTATATAAATATTTATACAACATGAATTCATAATGTTGAAGCTAAGAAACAATAGGTTTTCCGGTGTATACATTTCTGTTTGTTTTGAATTCGATTTTTCGAGCAACAATGAAAGGAAAAACATCTCGAATATTATTAAAATTAAATATTAGTGTTTCTACGGAATAAATTTCAAAAAATCTTACCAAAAATGATAGCATAACCTTTATTTTTATAGAGAAAAAAATGTAGAAAAGTATGAAAAATGAACAATACTGAATTTCTTATTAAGATAAACGAACAAAAGCCGTATATCGTGATATTGAAATAGCTTTCTGTTTATCCGTCTGGCTGTCACGCTCTAGTTCTTAAAAAGTTATAAAAACGCAAAACAGGAAAAAATTAGCTGTTAATATTACGTTTACAGGACATCCTGGAAAAACTATTTTCGCATCACTTATCATTCGAGTCGTTAGTGAAGAAACACAACCGTTGATCGATAAACCTAGAGTA